AACTATGACTTCTGTGTTACAGCCGTTTTAATTGAAACGTCGGCCGTTTCAATTGAAACGGCCGGGATCCAAGATCCAAGATCCAAGATTTTGAGGGGCTATTGGAAATGCATCTTGGAATCATATATTTTGGATCCCAGCCGTTTCATTGAAACGGGAAACGTTTCAATTGAAACGGCCGGGATCCAAGCTAGATTCCAAGACGCGTCTCCAACAGCCCCTCAAAATCTTGGATCTTGGATCTTGGATCCCGGCCGTTTCACTTGAAACGTTTTCGTTTCAATTGAAACGTCCGGTTTTCGAGGCCTTGGATAGAGTCCTGGGAAATCTTAGATCTTGGATCTTGGATCCCGGCCGTTTCAATTTAAACGGAAACGTTTCAATTGATTGAACTTCTAAACTCCGGGATCCAGGATGCAAGATCCCGTGGAAACTTTTTCCTGGAATCTTGAGTCTCGGATCTTGGATCCTGGGGTTTTGAAGTTCAAAACTCTGGATTGAAGTTCAAAACTCACGGAACTCCATAGGGTTAAGGCTTGAAGGTTTCGGGCTTCAGGTTGAGGCATTTGAGCCTCAGCCGGCAATTGAACCTAAACCCTCAATCTTTAAACCCTATAGGGTTCAGGTTTAAAGATTTAGGGTTTACAACTCGGGCATTCAAACTTAAGCCGGCAATTCAGCCTAAACGCTCAACCTTTAAACCCTATAGGGTTAAGGTTTCAAGGCTTAGGGTTCAAGCTTACTAGCCCAAAACCCAAGGAAATTAAAGTTGAAACTTTCAGAATAAACTACCTTGTAAGAAGCCCCAAAGTTGAAAAGTTGAGTTGTGAGCCAGTAAGCAAGATTGAAGCGCTTAAAGCTAAGCCCATAGAGCTTAAACCTCAAGGGTTTAAGGTTTAGGCATTCTAGGCTGCCCAGTAACCTAGGCTCAAAAAAGGGTGCCCTTTTTTGCTTAAAGGGGTTTATCAGGGAACCAAAACCCCCCAAAAAAGTGAATAAGGGTACTACTGGGCATCCTAGCATGAAAACATGAACCCTAAACGTTTTCGGGGTCTAAAAGGGTTCAAAGGTGTTAACTCCATAGGCGCTGGAGGTATACACGCCCAGACCCTAGGTACCTGAGGTTTAGGCATTGTAAAGCCCCATAGGCGCTGTGGCGCCGAGACCTTAGGTACCTGAGGTTTAGGCATTATAAGACCTTTAAGCCCTACAAGGCTTTTAAAGGTTTAAGCTCTAGGGATTTCAACCTAGGTTTGGGCATTCCAACTGGTTGAAGCCTTAAACCCTATAGGGCGCCTATAGGGTTCGGCATTTAAACCGAATAGGTTACCTTTAAACGCTATAGGTTTGAAAGGTCCAGGTTCAAAACAGTTAGGCCCTATAGGGTTTAAAGGCTTGGGTTGTTTTGGGGTTTATCTACCCTATCGGGGTTAGCCCCATAAGGTTGGGTTCACAGGTTTCGGGTTTAAGATTTAGACATTACCTATAGGAGTAGAACCTTATCACAGGGTTGTGATTTAGGCATTTAAAGCGAAGCCCATAGAGTTCTAACTTTAGGGCTTTAAGGTTTAAGATTTAGGCATTTAAACCTTAACCCTAAACTCTTTAGAGTCTGAACCCTAAAACCCCAAAAAAGCTCAAAGTCTTTTACCCTATAGGAGCTGAAGGTGTACATGCCCAGACCTTAGGTTTGTAAACCATTAAACCCTAGAGGGTGTAAAGGTTTAAGGTATTTGGAGGGTGTATCTAGAAAAATCCTCACGGGGTTAGCCCGATAGCGTTGAAGCCCTATAGGAATTACAAGGTACTTGCTTATTAAGGTTTAGGTATTGCCTATAGGAGCAGAACCTTGAACCCTGAAGGGCTTGAGGCTTAAATCCCTAAACCTTAAATCCCGTAAGGTTATTCCTATGTTTGCAGGGCTTGCCTCCTGTGCAAATGCAAAAAGAAAGTAGAACAAGTACCCACATGGCCACATGATGTATGTATATAGGGTATATGCATTATATATCAAACACAGACAATGGAGAAGGCATAGGGTGATACGAACAAATCATCTGCTGTGAGTCCCCGGGACGCGAGAATACTGTGAGCAGATATCTTTTCACTATTCCCTGAGATCTTCCAACAGGCTGCTAGTAGTTGCTCACAAGTATCTAGGCGTTCATTCTCACAAGCCCAGAAGGTCTTATATGATATTCGTCCAAAGCAACTGCGTATCACATCCTTACTACAAAAGTCTTGTTGTTCAGGGTGTTTCAGGCTTGTGTACGTCTCGTAAGCAGAAATGATATAGCATGCTATGGGAACTGTGCTGTTATATCTTAATATGGCGAGCGTTTAGGGTTGGGAGTTCAAGGGGTAAGCCAGAAAAAACTTATACTTTACGGCTGCATTTTGTTTTTCAGGGTGCTTCAGGTGGTTGTACCTCTCCTGAGAAGAAATGATATTATATAGCATGCTACGGGAACTCTGCTGCTATATCTTAATAGAGCGAGGGTTTAGGGTTTTGAGTTGAAGAGGTACACAAGCCAGCAGGTTTTCTGTAAATACTTTTCTGATACATTTTTGTTTTTCAGGTCGTTTCAGGTGGTTGTACGTCTCGTAAGGAGAAACGATATAACATGCTACGGGAGCTGTGTTGTCTATTGCAAGTCTCTAAAACGGTGGATCTTTGAGGGGGGGGTAACTATAACTAAAACGGTGGAACCTGTACTTTGGTATTCAGTCTCAGTTCAGGAAGTGTTCCTGTCATGAGGAGCCGAATAAAGTTGAAGGGATCCTGTCTATAAAAGTAGCTAAAACGGTAGATCTTTGGGGGGGGGGAAGCATATATATATATATAACCATCCCTGCATATAATTGTATACCCTCAAACCCACCGCGATTAAGCAACTTAACATCAAGCCTTTTTCCTTTGATTCAGTTTGATTCGTATCTCTGAATGAGGATCGGATCCAAGATTCGAAGTTCAATATGCTCGGGAAACGTTTCCTCCGGGCATCTCGAATCTTGAATCTTGGATCCCGGCTGGTCAAAATTGAATATAGATTTGAATAAAATGAACAGGGCCAGAGGGTGGGGGGGGGAAGGGGGGGGAAGGCGTGCCTTCTTCGTTTGAAACAAGGCTGTGTACAGTAAGATTCAAAGGACTACCCTTATAAGCGACCTTAGGGGTTACTTAGGGGTTCTCTGGGGGCTACTCAGGTATAGAGGGACTATATAAGGTACACATAGGGGTTATTTTGGGGAATAAGATTCAGGGTCCCTTCTAGGGGTCCCTCCTTATACCCCTCAAAAGATGAATCTGTAGGTCCTTTGGTTTCAAGGAGTTGCACTACATGCTGCTCGTTTAATGTTTGGGCCTAAACCCTATTCCTGAACCTAAACCTTAGATTTCCCCTAGTCATTAGAAGAATGTCGCTCAACATGAGAGATTGCACTGACTTTCCTTAAAAGCATCAATCCGAAAAGGCGTTGGTCTTGGCCCAAACAACCCTAGACCTTCTTTTTCTGAACCCTGAACCCTATTGCTAAACGTTACTTATTGGATAATGAGACCTCAGCTCGAGTCCTAAAACCTTGTTCCGCAACCAAGTTTCTTCCCATAACCACTAAGGGATAGCAACGAGCTTCCCTCAACACTGCAGAACTAACGATTGTCCATCAAAAGCTGCCCTTAAGGCTTAAGGCTAAGGTTAAACCAATTCCCTTACCTATAATATGTTCCCTAAAGAGCTTCCTGGAACCTTCCAGACGCCCTATCACAACATTCTTCGGGTCATGCTTAGGCGCTGCTATCTTCTTCCGAAAGGAAACATGTGTACGAAAATGCATGTTTATTGTTAGGAATAATTGAGGTGTGTGTGTGTGTATCTATATATATATATATATATCTATCTATGTATATACATATAGTCGTGTATATATGTATACATGTTGTTATGTTGAAAAATGAACACTTCTTAATTTTACATGTTTTGTATGTAAAATTATATTTACGTACTATTCGATAAACAAAATATACTTTTATGTGTATCTGCACACAAATATATATATATATATATATATATATATATATATATATATACGTATAGAAAAAAAAATATATATATATATATATATTGCATTTTACACATGAACCCTCTTCGCCCCTAAAACCTGCAAACCCTCTAAGCCTTAGAGACCCAAAAGAAACCCCATGAAAGCCCAAACCGAAACCCGCGCTGCACCTGGGAAGACGCGGGCCGGTCCCCAGCGCGTGGGGGGCTGCAGGCGTCGCAGGAGCCAGGCGCCAGGACAAAGGAAGGGCCATGAGCCATCGGTTCCGAGTTTGGCCCCCAAGGCCCCCAAACCGGGGTCAGGGCTTGGGTAGCTGCTTTCGAGGCTTCTAAGGGCAGGGTTCAGGGCTCCGGGTTGAGGCGGTAGAGGGTTGATAGTGCACGGTTAAAGGGTTGACTTGAGATGCTGTATTTGTACCTCTTGGGGGTCTCTAGCGGTTTAAAGACTTGCTTCACGGGGCTCAGGCAAAAACAAAAATTGCTGGGTTAGGGCTGGCTAAGGCTCAAGGTGTAATGCTTTGCAGGACAGCGGCAGCTAAGCCCTGGGCCTGCCACAAGTGTGCAAGAAGCTTCTTCGACTTTTCTGGCTCTGCAGGCCACCAACTTTCCAGCGCGCGCAATATTTGCGATAGCTGGAAACCCGCTGGGTCATGAAGGTGCAGTGGTTGTCACTCGGAGTCAGTCGTCCTGAGCAAGTGCTCTTGCGCTGCAAACGCATTTGTCGACCTGAAATCATCAGTTGGCCCAGCTTGTCAAGCTCCAAGTCCTCACCTGGGCTGCAGCTACTTACCGCAAACCCAGCAGGTACCTGATGCCCCCAGTCAAACTTGAAGCATACTCCTCTCAGAACCTCAACAACAGATGATTTCTAATTATTCCTCTGGGATTTACAGACAAAATAAAACATTCCTAAGGGGGCTGTAGAAAGAGGGGCCCTGGTCACAGGAAGTCGGAGAGTTCACGGCGTCTTCCGCGGGATGGGGCGTGGCCAGGAAGCGTGGCCACGCACAGCGCGCCGGCCGTCCCCACGTCGTGGTGTTGCTGCCTTGAGAACCTCGGATGGCCCTTTTTTGTATGCCCTCTGAAAGATGTGCCTACATATGAGCCTCTTGAACCCCAATAGTATGCTGCTATACATGAGGTCCTCTTGGACCCAATAATCTGTTCCTACAGATGGTCCTACTGAACCCAATGCAATGTGAAGATTATGAAAGCAAGAGTACATCCCAAGGGCCTAGGAACTGCAGGCTGTAATTCTGATCTTCTGCGGTGGACCAGGAATGCCTCTCCGGATTTCCCCAAACGAGGTTGTAATCACCAGGGAGGAAGGCTTTGCCAGCGGGTTTGCCAGGATATGGCCTGATGCCCAGGAAGCGGTTTATGTCGCTCAGGCGGATCCGTTTCTGAGCCGAGAACCAGCTGTCATTTGCATACAGCGCAGCATTGCTGTTCTGGAAGCCCCATGTCCTCGACGGGGTTGGTGGATATTTTGAGAAGGCACGATCGAACTTGTCCCGGTCTACCTTGCTCTTGCCGCGAGAAAAGATGAGGTTGGCCAGCTTCTTTCCGCCCGAGATCGCGCTGGAGACGCCGCCCATTTCTGCAAGTGGCCGCAGCTACAACCCAAGGCTGCTGCGGAAAAAGATGCTCCATGAAAAATGGCAGCATGCTGTGAGTGTAATACCTTGCAACCGTCTGTCGTTTTCAACGCCTTGCTCTCTCTTGCCTTGCTCGATCCCAGAGGGCCTCCTGGTGGCAATGGTGCTCAGGTTGAAACCCTGCAAACCTTCCCGGGCCCTGAAAAAAGCCAGCAAAAACCGGGTAGCAGCCATGCCTTTGCGCACCCTCAAGAATATCCCTGGTCTGGTTTAGCAGGGTGCCAAAGACCACAGCTGCCTGTGTTATGGTCAATTCATGCACAGGGGAAGAAACTGAAACAGTTCCCTGGCCTGTGGGAGTTGTGGCACGGCACCAGTCTTTCTGCAAGTAGGGGCCCTAGCCCTGGAATGGTGGAAGCCGAAAAGCGGAACTGCGAAACCCCTAACCTTCTAAGCCCTGCTGGAAGAAGCCCAAAGTCCTAGCCCTACATTACATTCGCCGCGCACTTGCTGACAGGGTCGTCCAGGTCGATCTGCCTCGGGCGGCTTAAATTCCGCAGCCCTGCGCCCTACATCCCAAGGAGGGTTGAGTGTTTACGGCGGGCACATGAGTAGCGTTCTGGATTTTTCAGTATACCTATATGGCTGAAGAGTCTAGTCTAGTGTGCTCTGCTTTGCTGGGTGATCCATCATACCTTGGTGGCGCGGCTCCACTATCTCCCACGCTCGCCCGCCACAAGTTTGGTGGACAAGCCTTCCATGCACGTGCTGGCAAGCCCCAGCCTCGTCCTTAAACTCCAAAATCCTGAACGTCCTCTATAAAACCTACTCGCGGCCACAACCCAAGCACTGGGCTGAAACATCGAAAGAGCTTCTCCCCGTTTGAAACCCTCAGCCCTGCCTCAACCCCAAGAATCACGAGACCCCAAATCCTAACCCGCCTTGAACCAATCCAAGCCTGACGAAGATGACGAAAAATGGTGTAACCATCGCAGATGGCATAATCGGCCCCCCCCTCGAATTTCCCAGACCAAAGCTCCTCCAAGGAGGTCGACACTAAGCCGCCTCGCCTGCTTGGCTCCTCCAGATAGGTGCAGAAAGCTGCAGCCTGGCAGGGTGTTGCAGAGCCTTTTTGTGCCACCATCTAGCAAGGCTCCATGGTGCAAACTGTAGAGAGAGAACGCTTTCGAAGTATAGTGGCGATTGGGGATTACAGCTGCTAGAGCATTGAGACTTTTAGGGATTTATTCGAGCTGACAATTAGAGTCTACGAAGTACTTGGGCATCGCTCAGGTACGGCCATAAGAGACGGTCGTACATGAAAACATGCCTGTGATGGTCGGGTAAAAAAGAATCGGTGCAACATTTGCGCGTGCAACCCGGGCCTGTATTGCATGAAGGCAAGGGTGGAGGCTTTGGGAGGTCCCAGCAATTTATAGTTCCTGAAGTTGCTGTGGTTCCGAAAGTTAATTACGACAGTCTTTAGAATCCCGGGGTCAAGCTGAGTCCGGCACCACCAAACATTTGGTCATGGAGAAGAGGCGAACGATGGTATCGCCGGACATCTTCACCTGCAGATGTCTTGAGGGCTCCCGTAGCGTAGGGTTCGATCGCCTGAGAAGCTGGATGTTCAAGGCATATATGGCTTAAACGCTCCAAGGAAACTGCAACCCTAAACCCTAAACCTAAACCCCAAAAGTACAGTTGGGCACTTCTTGCGCCTTCTGCTCGGCATCCTGAAAGCCGGCATCCTGGTAGAAGACGAGGCTCCCATTCCGAACCTGGTTCCGCACAAAACCGCGCTGACACATGCCGGACGAGTTGGATGGCGGACTCTTGTCAAACAACACCGCCAAGATACCATAAAATTCTCACAGTTAGACTGGGAATCCTCCCGTGTTGAAACTCCTCTGTCATTCGCGGAGGCCCCGGCAATGCCGCAAGCAATTCCTGCGAAGTGCTTCATGCGACAGCGCCACTGCAAGTACCTGCGCTTTGGCCCTGCAAAAGTGGGAATGGGGTTTAGCTCAGCCTGAACCTGGGCTCTGTTGTTCATAGGCGCGCAGGCCACGACCCAAGACGCAGTGTCAGGGCATCGAAAGGCGGCAGCCCTACCTACCTCCCACGCCCCAAATGCTAGAAAACTCCCAATCCAGAGTGACTTCAACCTCATGCAGGAGCCTGAATATATACCAAGATCACACCCTTACAGCCCCTACATGACTAACCCTCCCGCCAAATAAGCAGGAGCTCACTGCCGGACGCGCTCCAGGGGCGCCCCATCCATGCCTCGCAGCCAGAGAATCCTACGATTCACCCGAACAATTGTGGGTTCCCTTTCCGGAACCTACTTTTAATTAGTTTGAGTCCACAGAATCACTTGTGTCTGTAATAGGCAAGCCCAAGCCTTTTTTTTCCACCTGTGCCCTGAACCTTGAAGGGAGAGCGAAGGGCTTTTTGATTCTCATGCAGTTGAGACTCGCCATACAAGATTAGATCCGTGGGGTTTGTTTTGATGGCTTCCGGTGTAGGCCGTGACTTCACAGGGGGGTTGAAATGCTCTTGCGGAACGTCGTGGGGCGACTTCGCCGTCTCCCGGGTCGATGCCCCCGTGCACTCAGCGAACAATGTAGCGAAGTGAACCTGTGTCAAACCAGCCTCTTGGATGTCTAGGAGTCTAGGGCTTATAGCATGGGCGCCTGATTGGGCCCTTGATTAGGGAAAGCTCTCATAGACCCGCAGTCCATCTGGACTTGTGCCCTTGGCACCATACAAGCTAGGAAGCATGGCTGACCGCACAAACTGTGTTCTCACGGAGAACTCCACGCTACGGATGGCTCCAGTCCAGACAGCGGACACTCGTCAACGAGCGACACCTCAACCGCCTCAGCCCCAAACCTTAAAACCCTGAAAGGCCTGGATCCTCATAGGACCCCCCTTGCAAATCCCCACAACGCACCCCCCGCAAAAATTGGAACCTGAACATCAAACACCAGGACGCCCACCAGAATCACGACCACCACCCCCCAACACAAGCAAAACCCGCACAACAAAGCCTACAGCATCGGGGGCACAGCCCGGCCAGGCTGGCAAACGCCCGGCCTCGTCTCGGTATTCGGACTTGCTGGCTCTCAGGAAGCAGGAGTTTGAAACCTAAACCCTTTGTTGCATTCGGGCTCTGCCTACACCAGTGTGGTACCTGAAGGGACAGGATGCTGCAGCTCTTAGCGGCTTAGCGGTTCTTTTAGCTATGTCTGAATATGCGCAAAATACCCATGCACAGCCTTAGCGCATGCTCGATATTTTATTTTGCCCGATATGTTCCTTACTGCTGACCTGCTTAGACAAATGGTACAAGTGGCAAAAGCAGCCCCCCAACCTTGCTCACAGCACAATCCGAGCTGCAACTCAAGGTAACTACTATCGCATTAGGGGAGAAGGAGGGGGGGGGGGAGGGCTACATATGTATAAATGTAAAAGGAAACTCTAAACACTAAGCCTTCACTAAGCCCTAAACCCTATAAGCCCTAAACCCTAAGAATCCCTTAAAAGGGGACCTCTGCTCCTTAAGGCGCCGGAAGCTTGCCGGCCTGGATTGGCTCCGCAGGGAGCTCCTTGGTCTTGGAGCTACGCCCCGGCGCCCTGTCAGAATCTGCCAGGGTTTAGTTTAGGGTTTAGGGTTTAGGGTTTTGGGTTTAGGGTTTAGGGTTTAGGGTTTAGGGCTTAGGGCTTGGGGCTTAGGTTGTTTAGGTTGTTTAGGCGGTTTAGGGTTTGGGGTTTAGGGTCAGAGCTCTGTGGCTTTGAGAGGAGAACTCAAGAGTTGCCCCACTTTTCAGATGCTTACAAATGGGTGGTTGTCAAAATCATGTTCCCTTTTGGATCCCTCTCAAAATACGGCGCCTAATATGTAGGGGACCCAAAAAGGGACCATAATTTTGACAGCCACCCAAATGAATATAGTTTCCTACATGAGGGTCCCTTTTTGGGTACCCATGATAAGGCGGCACCCTTTCGAAAGGGATGCCAAAGAGGGACCCTAATTTCGAGAACTACCCAATACACTCCTCAAAGCAGCCACGGTACGAAGCCCAACATCCCAGGTTGGTCTGGCAGAGCAGTTTGATGGGTGAACCTCCCCAGACTGGAGCCCTGGCCCAGCACACGTAGCCAGAGCACGTGGGGTTATTAGCGGCCCCCGATGTTTTCTAAAGTGGCGCGCGACCTGGAAGACCGCAGCCTAGTCGCCTCTAGGGCACTTCAGGAGAGTGCATTCCTGCGACGCCAGGTAGCATCGAACAGCTACAGGCGCTACGCTGCTGGTAGGCCTGAGACTCTCCCATGCTCTCCCATGCTGTGCCTCCAGGTCGTGGACCTGGGCCCAACGAAGCCCATGTCACCGAATCAAGGGTTTGGGGTTTCCTTCGTCATGACCAGAAGCTGAAGCAAGAGGGCGTGATGGTTCTTCTTTTAACGTCCTTTTCAAGATTTTAGGACTTCTGGCTATCCGAAAGTATGGTCTTCTACAATAAGGAAGTTGTGTTTTTGGTGGTAAGTTAGGGGGACTCCAGTTTGCCATTTTGGGACATATACATTCAGACTCAAAGTCTCCAACGGTCTGCCATGCTGCTCCGGCACAAAAAGTCTCCCTCTTTAGCACCTCAACACTATAGCATATCGTCTTAAGCCCTATAGATCCCACAGAAACCCGGAGCCCCTGTTATCTTTTGTACCCCTAAACCCTAAACCGTAAATCCTAAACCCTAAACCCTAAACCCCAAGCCAGTGCGCGAAGTCCCTCCCCTGGGCGTCGGGCAACTCCTCGAGGAGCTTCCGAGCCGCCGCCGTCTTCGAGGAGCACAGGATCACCTGTGGAGGTTTATTTGGGTTGTAGGTCTCCATATATATATATATATATGCTACTATATATATATATAACCATCTAAATAAATAAAAACAAATAAACAAATGGATGTATATATATATATATATGCTACCATGTGTATTTGTTCTTGGGGTCAAATTTGGGGTTCAGGATTTGGGATTATAATCGGGGTACTATAGTAAGGACTGTTAGTATACAGGGGGAACATCGCAGGTTGCAGGGTCCATATTACCACAGGGTTGTATAAATTCTATATTACCACAGGGTTTCCATAAATAAAAGGGTTTAATGAAGTTTATCTTTGTTTTTGATTTAATCGGGGCTAGGTTTTAGGGTTGCCGAATTATTTTAGGGGTAGTTCCAGGATGTTCACCAATTCTCAAGGCCTTATCGATCTTTAGATGGCTGTGGGACCGTAGACGTGCAACCAAGGATGACGGACTCAAAATTTCTGGAGCCCCAAACTCAGAACTAACGAGGCAGCAGCTTAAGGACTCATGGCGCCACTCTCGCTATCCCTACCCGGGCTGCGGGCGAGGCGATTGAAGAGCTGTGCTCCAATCGTGCCGCCATTCACAAGCGGCTCCATCTCAGGCACCAGGACATCAAGCTACAGAAGGTTCCATAGTTCCATAGCTCACGTTTTGGGAGAGTTTTGTCCTTGAGGCTCTGTCGGCACGCACAACACAGTGAACTACTGGTGACGGTCACTCGTCGATGGGCCAGTCTATACTGCAAGGCCTTTTGCTTCACCAAAACCTACTCGAAATAAATGGTCCGAAATGGATCCAAACTCTACAGAACAACCAACTCCCCCACCCCGCACCCCGAAACCCAGAAGTTCCGCGTCCGCACGTTAGTTTCCCCGGCAGGCCTGAAACAAAAACAAACCCGCGGGGGGACGCCGAGCTACATTATTTGCTGCAGCCCTGGGGCCAAAGACATGTAGGTCTTGGGTAGTATCAGGGTCTTTTGTAGGCCTGCAACTCGAAGCTCTACGCCCCGAGCCCGTTACTCCGTTGGGGGCCAGGCCCCTGCTTGCTTCAGGAGGGGCATGGAAAACTTTCGAAGCTCCTGCCGCCGCGCAAGCCGGACAATCCAAAGCGAAAAGTTGTTTGGGTTCAGGACTTCAGGGTTTCCTTGGTGCTGATCTAGTTGACGGACCCAGGTGGCATCCCAAACTAGGAAGGCACCCTGAAAGAGACCCAGAAGTGGCTGTCTCGTTTAAACCGTCTGGGTTTGGGGCTTCAAGGCTTGCCAAAGGCAGGGCCACCAGTGCCCCTGAACCAGTTTCAGCTTGTACTTTTGAAGCCCTACCAACCAAAAAAAACCATACAGCAGCCTGGACATCTCTAAGCCGCCAACTGCCTAACAGCCGAGCCAAGACTGTCGAGAGGTCTTTAAGGATCATTGCAAGTCCTCGACATCCATTATTACTAATTGCAGCATATGTGTTCTGCGGCGGAATGGTGGGCCGGGTGCGCCCCATGAACCATTTAGAGTGCCTTAAACCAGCATAACTTGCAGGGCCGGGTGGGAAAACGATTCTGCGCCCCTCCAGAACCAAGAGCTCCAGATCTTCAAGGGTGTGGGGGCTGCCATGTGATTTTGCCCCCCTTGCCTCTCTTGACCCCTTCCGACGGCTAAACTGTTCTTGGCCAAGGCGGTGGGCGTGTGCGAGTGATGCACCACTTGCTGTCCCAAAAGGGGGGGGGGGGGTGTTTGGGGGGGGGGGGGGGGTAACGAGTTAGCCAGAGGCAAGTGCTGCCCTCCTTCTCAGCAGCTTCTCCCATGCGCCATCCTTGCTACAACTGAGCCCTCCCGGAAGATCAGGTGGGGGCAAAAGGCTTATAGGGCTTAGGAGCTCCAGCTCGTGGTCCCGTAGTCATATACTTCATTGGCATCCTGAAGAAAAGGAAGAGGTCCTTGTTTATAAGCTGGGCTTGCCTGATCAGTCGACAATGTGAAACCACAGAATCCATTCATAAAGCATGCCTGATCATACCTCCACACCACTTCTTCTTCCACAAGTCCCTGCAAAGCTTTCTAGGGAAGCCCAGGAGTCCCCAGTACAGAGCCCAAAGAATCTTGTCCAATCTTATCTTCCTTACCTTTTGCCAGGCACTTGGAGATTCAGGGGCTTCAGTAGCGGTTCAAATCACCTGACTTCCCATTCAGGAAGACCCGAGTCTTGTGCCATTTTCTTTGCAGGCGTTCTACCTCCAACCCCCCAAGAGTGTGCCTCCTGGTTGTCGAAGCCCAGAAGCTTGGCAGCCTTCGCCACCGTCATCTGAACCTGACAAACAAACACTCGCATCATGGGGGCTCAGGGCCGTTGCTGTTGGCTTAGGCTTACGAAGCTTTGAGGGTTTGCTCGGGGTTGGACGGTTTAATACATCCAAACCCTGTCATGACACTGAGGGCGCCGGCCCCGATAAGAATCAACAATCGAAACAGGCTCATGGATTGCAAACAACCTTTTTGTGCCCTGCTTTGCAAAGCCCGGACGACAGCCTGCATACAACACCTCAACCCGCGCCTGTGGCTGCGCGAAGGAGGGGACTGCCGAAATCGGCACCTGTCCACACCGCTTCACATCAGGGGCCTCAGGGGCCTCTGCCTCTGCGCTTCAAGCACTTGAGCTACCGATGCACAACTTTGGCCAGCAGAAGCAGTACAGTTGTATCACATGCTGCACGGCATCGCGATTGCAAACTGCGATCTGCAAACGCAACCTCACCGGAAGTATATCCAAAAAAGGGTACATTAGGGGGCCAGGATATGTGCTACGAGGTCCACGCGAGAGAGGCTCGATGCGCGGAGGCGCTTGAGCTGGGTCAGTTGCATGTGTGCGCGAAAATGGACACCACACATTGATTGATATAGCGCTAGGACATTTAGATTCAACTTTGCCTCGAGGTGGGGATCGGTACTGGTGGGTTCTGTTGTAGAAGGTGCTGCAAGCTCTTGAAGGGTTTAGGCCGCTGCCGCATAGCCCAGAGAGCACGTACTACACCTCGAAGCGTGACCCGCGTCGACTGTCATCAACAGCTCTCCAGCATGAGCGGCTTGGGCTGGATCGACATGGTTCTGGGGCTAGTTCTGCAATGCAAACCTGCCGACGGCTCAGGGTCCCATGAATTCGATCCTGAAGCAAACGCAGACGGAAACTTGTGATCAGATTGATCACCGAATATACATACGGGAGTTTGGCATATTTGTGCGCATGCTTTTGCAGGCGCAGCGCCTCGGTGAAAAATCTCCTGATGCCTGAACCCACATCAGCGATAATGAGGCATCTTAAACCATCAGTGACCATGCAACCTAAGCTGCTGAAACCCATTCACGAATTTCCCAGAAAAAAGGTCCTTTTAAGATGCCCCCCCCAAAATTCTAATGGCAGAAGAACCCTTACGATAAGAAGCGCGCAAAAAGGGTACGACTAAACCCTAAAATCCCACCATGTCGTCTCTGAACTCTCGGCGGCCTCCACACGGGCAGGGGCTGGCGCAGCATCGCCGGACGCCTCCTGGAAGTTGGCGAGGTCGGGTTCCAAAACACACAGAACGCGCGCACACACACACACACACACACACACATACAACACACACACACACAACACACACAGAACACACAGAACACACACACACACACATTTTGTTCGCATACATAGGTGGTTCGAGTCTTCCCCTGTCTTCCTGGTCACTGTTCACATATGGGCAAATTCTTGGCTCCTGTAGCAGGGCCTCTGGCTTTTTTGTGACCCAATTACGCAGCAAAGCTCTGCAGTGCATTTTTTGAAACTTACCTCGCTGCCATCACGATCTCTTTCCTGCTCTCCGAACGGCGGCCTAGTTCTCGGGCTTGTGCAGCGGAACTGGGTCGTTGGGGGTGAGATGGCAAGGTATCAGGAGGAAGATCAGGGGAATCGGCAAGAGCCGACTGATGGCTTTCGTCACAAGGCCGTGCACCAGGTAGTCAAAGTTTCCGTCTACAATGCCCCAAAACTCGCAGAGGCTGACCCCCAGGAACTTTCCAGAATCGCAACCGATGTTGTTCAGGGCCATCAGTGAGGCAAAGAGCGTCGCCTCCAGATTCGCTGGGCAGACCTTGTATGCCAGAACCACCAGCGGCACGTAAAAGAGCTTGGAGACTGCGAGGTCGAAGGCCGTGTCGCCGACATAGAACAAGAAGTCGGGTATTCCGATCAGGCGGTTCCAGCGCATGACTAAGCAAATGTCCAGCAGCTGACTGGTGAAGTACGCCATCTGCCCTACCAGGAAGATCTTCCGGTAGGGCCAGTTGGTCATGAAGTTCCGGTAGCAAAGAAGGCCGATTAGGATCCCAGCTTGGCCGAAGCAGTCAGTGATCCCCATGAGCTGGGTACTGAGCTGGGGCCCTTGAGGGAAGCGAGTCAACCATACGAACATCGCCTCACCCAGGCCTGGCTGAAGAACGAGGCGCAGGAAGATGAAGAGCGCCGTGCACCCGAAGTACGGGGAGATGCCCGACAAGGCCTTCATTGTGGAAGCTCCGATGCCCATGGCGCAGATGATGGTGATGGTCGCTCTCAAGCGCATGTCCTCGACGAACAGATGCACCAGGGAAAGGCCGATGGCCACGACCGACAACACTATGGCCACTGCAGACATTAGTGGGTGCTTGTGGAACTCCTTGACATTCGGCGCACATCTCTGGCGCGCGGGCAGCCGCTCTTCTGGCAGCCAGCCGAGCAAGGCGGGCACAAGGACACCCACCGCGGAAAGCGTGTTGACGAGCGAGGTGCCCTGCGGAGAGATCAGTGCAACCAGCGAGCCTTTCGCTGCTCCGGCGACGATTCCGCCAGTTGCTTCTGCAGATCTCAGTGCGCACTGCAGGTCAGACGCGTGCGCCGCGTGCTCCTTTCCCAGCCTCGCCGCAGTGGCATCGATGACCAAGTCCGACAACGCGAGAGACAAGTTCACGGACAACATGAACACCACGAGTCCAGAGGTTCCGAGGGCGACGCAGCCAAACCAAAGGTAGGCCAGCAAGCTGAAGACGCAGCCAATGACCAAATAGGAGGTCTTGTGGAAACCCATCAGAGGCATGGTGTCGGAGAGCATGCCAAGCACCGGCTTCACGTTCCAGGGCACGTGAGCCACTGCGAGCAGCCTGCCCATGGTTGCCCCATCCAGCTGCAGGGTGTCCATCATGTAGTACTTGCAGGCAAACTCCGAGGTTCCCCGGGCAAAACCCTGCTGCAGCCCATAGGACAGCATGCCAAGGGGCGCAAATGAGCCAAACAGCCTCCACAGGAGCCGAAACCAGTTGAGCAGAGGAAGGCGGCATTTGCCTCGGCCGGGATCTTCTTCCGAATCGTCTTGCAATCCATTAGCGCGCTTGGATGTTTTCTGCAAATTCAGCTCGGCGCTGTGTGCAGCCTTGACAGGGCTTCCCGCCTCTTCGTCTGCGCACCTGCTTCCCAGGAGGACCGGCGCGGCCGGCGTCTCTTGCACCGACGTGCGTTCGGGCGGATCCATGCGAGGACTGAGAAAGTTTCTTTACATGCCTTCCACAGCCGACATAAGCGCAAGTAACCCTAGACTCTAAGCCGCAAGCCTTCAACTGTGCTGCCCAAGTCAATGCTGAACTCTAGCCGGTAGCCCTAGATAAACTTATATAGGACTTCACACCCAAATCCATGCGCGCCAGCATCAAGAAAGAGAAGCAGAAACTGTCAGCTGGCCTGAGCCAAATTAGGCTTTCGACTTCCACACTAGCACAAGCGGACGAAGTCATCAGCACGAATTCAGGGCCAACCACACTCTTTTGCATCGCCCCTGCAACGTGCCAACAGCACCAATCGTGAGGGCCCCTAAATTGACAAAATCCCCCATATACTATGCTATCCCAACCCCAACCCCCCCAACCCCCTCCCCCCCCCCCCCCCCCCCAAAAAAAAAAAACAAAAACGAGGCCGGCGGCATATCCTACATTGAAGAACCCCTCATGGTATCCCGCATTAATTATGAGAGTACCAGAAACCTCAATTTATCAGAATTTTCGGATTCATGGTAAAGATCCCAAAATGGAGAAGAGCAAGGCGGCTCGAATCAGTCAAGCAGTCCCCGTCTCGTGCCCGCCTTCTCCTTCCCGGCCATGATCAGAGCAGGGGAAGGCGACCGTGCCCTAGACCCTAAACCCAAGCTCAGGCTGCTTTCGTGGCACGTAAGCGCAAGCATGAGAAGAGGTGGCACGAGGCTTGCAGGTCTCGGGTCGGTCCTGGGCTAAAAACTAACTCCTTTTTTGCGCTGCCGCCTTGCCGAGGCTACTTTTGTGTGCCACAAACACAAGCGGCACTGCAGCATCCCTCATGTCACTCAGAGGCTCGGAGCCGGCAGCAACGGGATATATCAAAGAAGAGGTTCCATCGCTGATCCCACAACCCCACGCAAACCGTAAGGTGCAATGACATCGTCTGCCAGTCGCCTCGACTCACATCTCTTTATACCTTCAACCCCAAACCCAATAGGGCGAAGCAACACGAATCTTGGGGAATGGGCAGGGCTCCCAGCAAAGCTGCTCGATTTTTGAAGCTCTCACAAGAAGTCGTGCCACTCTTTCTGGTGGCGCCATCGGCCGCCCGGCCTGCGAGAAACACTCTGTGCGGAAGGCTCGGAATGAAGGCAGGAAACCTTGAGTGCTTGAGGACGTGAGGCCCGAAATCTAGGAGCCTCGCAAGCTAGGAATACATGGGGGCGGAAACTTCAAAAACCTAGGGGCACCTCCAATGGGAGGGGGGGGGGGGGGTTACAAGGGAAAATATGGCGGTGTGAAGTGTACGTTCAGTATCCATATTTTGGGAAATGCCACTAATTCTGCCGCAGTGGATTTGGAACAGCACCCTGATTTTTGACACCCTCGGCCCCAGTGACTACCACGACGCTTGCGACCGAGGCGTTGGCAACTACAGGGCCTCGCCACGCCCTGCCTCAAAACGTGTCATGGTTTGCCTAAATGAAGCCCAAGCCCAAGAACGCCAATGATTAAGAGGCGTCCAAGCAAACTCCGCACGATTGCAAAGTATTTTCTGCGCGGCAGGAGAATGGTGAAGTTAAGCATCGGGGACGCACTCACAGCTGGTGCAGTTGACGTCGAAGTATCCTTACAGGAGATTCTGCGATGAGAGCTCCCCACTGTCCATGGTCTGCGGCGGATCAGACTGACGGATCTATTGAGGCTTTTGGGAGCAGGGGTCCACCCGAGTTGCGGAGTGCCGTTAGACCGACTGTTGGTCTGCATTCACTCTGTGCACCATGTCCGCTGTTCTGGACCCCTTGCTGAGAACTACGTCGTCAAGCCCGATCTTCAGCCCTGACCTTACCCGGGCCTCATGCAATCAAGCAGAGAGAAAGCAACAAGAAGACAGCCCACCTGAAACCTGCCCAGTTGAGCACACCGCGCAACCAACGTCCCTAAATCCAGGCTACCTTACCTTATCCGAAAAAAGCGAGTATATATACCAATCGTGAAGGCACATGACCCTTGTCGGGTGGTATATTGGTTGTATGCCCTTGGCAGAGTCTACGCCCAATCTTGAGCGTCTGACAGGCTTTGGCATTTCGGGATGTATGGAGCCTTTAGAGGCATTCAATGCCACCATTATCAGAAGCTGCTGCCCAGATGCGGTGGTGCTTCGCATACGCATCCGCGATCGGGCATCCAGTCTGATTCTCGAAGGTGCAATGCTGCGAGGCGGGGCAATGACAGTCCCCCTCTCGATCCTGGATCTGCGGCACTTGGGGTCGTTCGCTGCTCTTTGTCATGCAATCCCCCCCCCCCCCCTACCCCCCTACCCCCTTTCTCTTTGAGGAGGGGCCCTGTTTGAAGACTCATTCTGCTTCCACTATGTGGCATTTCTGCACCAGGCATGGCCCGCCCACTACATCCAGCGAGGTATTGGATAATGTGAGAGCGCGAAGAAGGCCCAAACCTGATTTACTGATTAGTTCATAGCGAGTGACCCTATTATACCACAGTCTTTGGTCAATTCTCTAACTGAGGTACTCTTTTCAGCGCCAATTTCAAGAACCTTCCCACAATATTGGTTTCGCTCTGGCAGTCGGGCGGCTGGGACCCTCGTCAGTGCCGATGGTGGACACTGGACTTCTGGCGCCTGGACAAGGCACGGCATTCTTAATATTTCTATCTTTAAGAAAAATTGCTGGTTTATGATGACTAGTAAGTAATGTTTTTGTATTATTAACGGTGCACCGTCTCCTTCGCATCGTCGGTCGATGCTCAACTCACCTCACCTCACCTGACCTCACCTCTTCTTTATTATGAGATGTTAATCTGGTATTAGTTCTTTACAATATGTTAGTTTAGACATTTTGTTTTCTTTGCGGGCTCTGGGTTTAGCTCTTTCGGTCGAAAAGGAGAAGGCCCTGACCTCGAAACTGAAACTGCAAGCACCTCGGATGGCTCTGCTCCGGAGGACTCAGGTCCTAATCTCTCACTTAGTTGTCCAGTATCGTGGAAACATTTGGGATAACCATTGGGATTATACGGGGATTATAATGCCGGTCAAAGGCTGCCTACACTACTACTAAGATCATTTTGTTCAAGCCTAGGCTCCCTAATGCGACACTTCTCTTAGGACCCTATTCCCTCAACCCGAAAAACAACGCGCTGACCTACCACAAAAACCCAGTTTCCGTGTAAAAACATGCCCAAGTCAAGTCTGAGATCCCCCCCTCCCCCTCCCCCCACCCCCCCCCCCCTCCCCGCAAGATACCGAAGAATGTAAAAGAAGAGAGGACCTTTTGAAGTGCAACACGAGAAAATACAGTTACGAATATGTCCGGGGCGGGGGGGGGGGGGGGAGGGTGGTCCTTTCTTTTTGTTGTTTGTTTGTAGGGGGGGGGGGGGGGGGTCGGGCCCACCTCGCCTGCTTGGCCCTGGATCTCCGGGTGCAGAAACACTCCGAGCAGCCCGAGTGGAAGTACAGGTGGCTGTACCTCTGGTTCTGCGCCGTCCTTGGTCTTCTTCAGGGCTGCGCACTCTTTCTTGCTTGATTTTTTTTTGGGCGTCAAGATTGACGGCTTTGGGAATCAGAGATTGTCCAGGGATTTGCATGCTTGGGGTCAAACTCAGGGTCTCTAGAGGCTTGGCGCGTTGAGGAGTCGGTCCCTCCTTTGGGCCTGCCACCTTCAGTCTTCCGCCGAGCTCCGTTCAGGGTTCACCTTCCCAAAACCCCCCCCCCCCCCCTTCAGACCCCATCATATCTCCGGGTCCAAGAGTCCCAGAGTAGGGACAGCCAGGAGAGCCCCGAAACATGCACATCATCTGACCTGGTCATACGTGCGTTCTGTGATCCCGCACGGGGGAGAAAAAAGGTGCAAGGACTGAGGGGGAGTCCCAGCATTGTTGCAGCAACTTGCAACATTTAGAAACCCTAAGCCCCAGGTAGACCCCAAAACGGTTTTTCTAAGTCGAAGCCCAGGGGGCCGTAGCAGAAGCAGTCTCCATCTCTGTCGGGCCGACTCACCCCCGAAAATGACGGACAGGTCGAGCTTACTCTGTGGATCATGGTGGTGGTGGCTGTGGTGGCTGCCGGCTTGGCTCTGCAACTGCATCCCTCACAGTTTGCGGAGAAGTACGCGGTGCTGTGCGTGTTCTCCCGTGGCGTAGAAGAGAAGGGGCATCCCAGGTTGCCCTGGTAAAAGCACTGCTCGGAAGAAGGGCACAAGCAGTCGCCGTCCTTATCCGGAGTATGAACCTTTGTTGCTGGAGGACAGACCGGAGTCAAAACAATAGTACTACATATGTACATGTATGTATATATACATATATATATACACATATGTGTATACATGCAATCAACAAACATGAATCTGTGCCAGGGCGCTCTAGCAAAGTCCGGGCAGCTAGGGCCACTTGTACTGGCCTCAGAGCGCGTATCCGATACCTGTGTGGCTGTGTCCTGGGTGAAGCTTGGGACTTTGTTTGAGGCTATTTGAAGGGACCTCTCAAAGTCGCTCTCTAAGGGTGCTTACAGTGGGCACGCAATGTCACTCCTGGATGTAGTAGCAAAAGTTGTCGGCATTCTTCAGAGCGAGGGCAGGATCGGCACGAGCAAGCTTCTGACACGTAGATCGGCCGTAGGCGGTGCCGCCGTCGAAGTCAACGTCATCTGTAAAGGCAGTAGCATGGTGCGAGCCCTCGTGAACCAAGGTCTCGACCATTTCGGAAGGTCTCTTGAAGTACAGTGGGCACAAGTAGAACACATACTTGTTGCTGCCTTTCATCGTTGTGCAGGGCCGCGATTCTTGCGTTCCTGCTCTGCACTTGTAGGCCTGAGGATAGACGTAGGCATAGGTATTCGGCGAGCATTTCGGACCCGGATAAACATACCTCAAGCACTTTCTCACAGCTGATGGGTTGTACGCGTCTCCCATAAGCACTGCAACCACAACTCCAACAACACAGCGGAGACACACGACATTACTGATCATGTGGTCGATGGAATTCAAGACGCGCAGGATCTCCTTGCGCGACCTCATTCAATTTCCAAATACACGTCCGAAATCAAGGGGGGTATATGGTCCTATATTATATGGTTTACTATATTTCTTCATCGTTGTCAGGGTCCTCATTCTCAAACCAAACCTCCTGGAACAAAGGCGCCCTGCATCAAGCATAGCCCACGTGTGTCTGCAGTGGGTTCCAGGTTTTTGCGGGTTCAGGGCATGACTCTGTCTTGCCGGTTGTGGGCATGGCCGAAGCAATTTGGAGGCCAATCCTTTGGCATGTGTTTGCTAGGCCGGACACGAACGAAGCAAAGACTATTGAGACCGGAGGCTGTAGGTTTCTGAAGGCAGCGGATCCGAACCAGCTGCTCATCTGCGTCTGTGTCTGCCTCCCACTGAATGCGCGGATAACGATGCCCATGTAGGCCTGCAGGGCCGGAGTCTTACTTTTGTTAGTTGCTGGGTGTGGCGGACAGAGGGAGAGGGGGGGGGTTGTTCTCATATAGTCTCGAAGGAATTTTGGGTATCTATGATCTGTGCAGAGAGCCTACACAAGCCCCTCTGGCAGACAGGGCAAGCTCACCATGCGGCAAGCAAAACGCAAGATGGCAATGTTCGCCAACGTCTCCCAGGACCCTGCACCTCAACCCTGAACTGTACCATAAGTAGGCACTGCAACGCGAACGAAGAGTGTTCGGGCATCGGGCACACCGGCACCGGCGATGCGATGCCCTTAAGCCCTGAGCACAAAAACCTCGCATCAACACGAGCTGGGGGGAGGCTCCAACTCGCACATCTTGAAGCTAGCAAAGGGATCGGACTCCTTCGGCTTCAACACCGGTGTGGAAGTGTATTCGCATTCGCTGAACTCTGCAACAGCGTCGTCCCAGTGAAGTTTCTCACAAAAAAGTCAGAAGATCCCTGGCCCAGGATATGTGCCTGCGGAAAACCCTGAACAAAGACCCGACTGTTGGCAACAGGGAATAGACAGGAATGGGGGTCTATCTTCTTAGAATGGGTGTTTGCTCCTGCATGATTGAATATGGTGCCTGCAATCACCCCTGAAGGACAAGCTGATCAGCAGAACCCTCAATGAACCCGTCTAAGCCAAGAAGG